GACAAATAGTGCACAAGTTTCTGTACATCTAAGTGCTGTCTAACCTAATCTTGATCTTTCTTTCTATATATTCATTAAGCTATTATATATTTCAGAGTATATACTTGACTGTAAGGCTTTAAAAGATTCTTCTGCTAACTAACTACTTATATTTAATTTTTTTGTTAACAGAGCTTATCTTTGCAGAGTTTATCCAGACCCCAACACTAACTTCATAGCATATCTCTAGTACTTATAGTATATCTTTGCTTCTAATCTTAGACTTTTAATTTAAATAGTTCAGAAGGACTATGACCTGTTCCTAGTATCCTAGAGTCTGTTTCCAAGATTCTTTTTCTTTGGTTTAAAACTTTCAGTAGTCTGATTGGTGGTGCCTCTTATCTGAGGTTCTTGTTTATCTAATTTTTTTTATATTAGTATCTGTTTTCTAGATTTAGCCTTTATAATAGTACTGTCAAAGATCCATGCTATCTTTTTATTTAGGTTTTCTCAAGTAGGCTCCAGCTTTTCAGTTTTACAGATTTACATAGTCACAAGAACTTATCTTAGGTTTGTACTGCCCATTGCTGGTTTGCATTCTTCTGTGTAACTTCAGCATTGTGCAGAGGCCTCATAACCTGTTAGTCATGCTAATGTGACTGTAGTTACATATATCTTATTTCAACTAATCAACAGAATGCTATTGCTATAATACTATCTATATATTACATAGGTGATTATTCAATTTTTGCTATTAGTGGGTTTTGAATTTAATATCTATTACTTGAAAGATTGATATTTTATTCACTTCACTAAGGCACCATCCTTCTAAATAATTGTTTTTTTAATTTCTGTCAATAATAAATTATACTAAAATGATTAATTAATATCTATATCTTACTAAATAAAATTAAACAATTTTTTTTTTTTTTTTTAAAGTAAGGTCTTGCCTTAGTTTTCTTTATTGAATTTTATATATAGTTACATTATATAATATAACATAGTATATATTCTTATCTATAAAAAACTAAAGTTAGAGCTAATTTATCTCTGACCCAAACTTTGCCAAGAGGGGCCAAAGGCCTTGTTTAGTCCTAAATTATTGCTATAAAGTTAGGTGATGCATTGTAATGTTTGAAGTTTTCTGTCTAAATGTTAATTCTTTTTTCAACTTGTGGGCTTTTGTGATTAATAGGTATATAGATATGGGCATTAGTGTTATCTAAAGTTGTTGTATTAGATTGAATTGGTTTATTGGATATAGTGATGTTTAAGAATTGTTAGTTTGATGTATTTTGGTCTCTAGGTGTTACTTGGCATCATGTAATCCAGATTTGATTGTGTATTGCTTTGCTGATTTTGTGCAGTATTATTTCAGTAGCTATATGTTTTGTTTTTTTGTTTATTAACTTGTTAATTATTCTGCTTTGGTGTAAAATAATAATGCCTTTTGTAATCATATTTTTCTGTTTGTTATCAATGTTAGATAGTGTTAATAATAAGATGAGAGTTTCCAAATTTTGTAATGTATTTAGTTGATGTTTGATAAGAATTTTTGTAATTATGTTCTTGATAATAGAGTTGATATTGGTGTTATTAGTATAACATTGTGTTTAGTGTTCATTAGTTTTGAGGTTGGTTTTGCATCTCTGGCAGTTTGGGTTATTGTATTTCTTAGGGTTGCATTTGTAAAGTACTGTTTAGATAGGTAGTTCATTGAAGAAGAATTTGATTTTGAAGATCTTCAAATTTGAATGAGAAGAATGAGTATATCTGAAAGTAGGTTTGTCATTAAAGTTTATAAAATTATGAAAGATTTCCTAGTCAATTTCTTTATATATTGTATTTTAAGTATTTATTCAATTTTGGGCATGCTATATAGCAATGTAATATGCATTGTTAATGTGTTGGATAAATCTTCTGGGTATATGCTCGATGCATATGTTGTGCCAGTTTATAGTGAAGATATTATGTCTTATTGCTATATGGTTTATGCTAAGATGATGTATAATAATGTTGGATTTGATCATAACATTCAGTGCTTCATTATATTGAAGCTGGATTTGCTGAGATCTTTGTTCGATAATTGCTTTTATTGTTAGCCAGCTAGGCCATAATGAAGTTTTGTAGATCTAAGTATTATACTAGAATGGGGTATTTAGAATAAACTCTGCTTTTTGAGTAAATTGTTTTTTGTTTATGTATATGGTTATATTTGTGTTTTCATGAGTACTAAGTGCAATGCATATTAGAGCTGTGCATAATGCTTTGTTAGTGCTTGGCTAGTTATAGTTATTAAAACAGAACTAAGATTTTGATTTGTCATTTTCCTAAATGATTAAGGTAATTTCTGTTGAATTTGGTTTATAGATCACTAACTTAATGTCTGTTGATTGTGTTTTTAGTGTGTTTTAATATATGTTCCAAAGGTCTTCAGCTGCCTTTTGAGGTGATATTGTATTAGTTATATCAGTGAAGGTTTATTAGTGTGATTTGATAAATGATTTGTTGACCAGCTTAGTTATGGGTTTTTGATTTGACCTATTGTTGAACTGTATTGTTGCTAGTTCTTCTATATTATATCTGATATTGTGTTTGAAATCTACTTTAATTTGTTCAAGGTATGCTGTAGAATGGGTTGAGATATATTTTGTTTTTTGTAGTTGCATTTTGTTGAGATTGCATTCAGAACATGATTGTAAAGTTGTACTATTTGGTGTCATTATTCAGTGGTATATTGTTGCATACTGATTTTTTATAGAGGATATCTTTTCTATACTTTTTATTTTAGTGTTGTAGATTTAGTCTTTCTTGTTAACCTGTTTGGCTTTAAGTATATAGGGGTTTGGTGTAAGCAGTATGTGGCTCTTGTCTTTAATAATTTCATTAGTTTTCTTAGTTATATATTCAAACTATTTGGGTTTTCTGCCTTTCTGGATTTTTGTTATGGTTTGTGTGATGTGCATCCAGCTAAGTGTTTGTGAATGTGTATAGTTTGTGCATTGTTCTATTGCATAGATTTTCAATTTATTGAGTTTTGTTTTAATTTTGTAGGCTGATTTGAGTTGTTATAGAGCATGGTTTATAGCTGTGCCTTTAAAAGCTAAGAGTTTGGGCCAGATGTTAGCATGCTTTATTGAAACTTTCAATTAGTGTAAACTTTGTAATATTCTGGCTATAGTTGAAAAGTGTTCTTCTTGGCTTAAGATATATAAATGGTCGATCAATATAGATGTATTGGTTGCAGCTACATTTTGATTTGTTGTAGTTGAATTTTAAGTGTAAAGTTGTAGAAGTTATAATGATTGAGTTGGTATATCATTTAGGTAATATGTTGTTGGTCTTGTATTTCATTAACTTTTTAAAGAGCATGTATTTTGTGATAGAACATTGTAGAGTTTGGAATAGATGTAGCTATACCTGCTTTATATTTTGCTATAGTCATATAGCCATTTATAATTTTATTGCAAATGGTATCAGATAGTTTGAAGTTTTGTATACAGTAGACAATTCTAGTAAATATTACTGAATGAATTATATAGATGGCTTGTTTTTTTGTAATTTTTGCATATTTGAGTTTTTTAATTGCATCAATTGCTTCTTTTATTATAATTTGATGTATAGAAGTTTGTCTTTTTTCTATTATAAACCAATATCCAAGAAATCTGAATGCTTTTTTTGTTGAAATATTGGTAATTGATATGTTGTTAAATGTTATGCTAGATGTTGTTTTGGTTATGTTTGTTGCTAGAACTAATTTTGTTGCATTAACTTTAATATTGGTTAGGTTGTAAAAAGTAGTTGCAGTAGCTATGATTTTAGATAGTTCTTTTTTTGATAGTGATCCAAATGGTATTATCCATGTATGCTAGTACTAGATGGTTAATTTTGTAAGTAGTGTTATTGTTGTTTGGAGTAGATATGTTTGTTTTTATTTCATATTCTTTATGTTATTTGGTAATTTTAGTTAGCAAAGGTCATAGTATATTTGCTATAGTAGAGTGTGATCATCTCTTCTTAGTCTATCCCATCATGAACTAGATATTTTGATGTATTGCCATAGTTTGTGATTACTGAGTTTACATGGTTTGTAAAAATGTTACTTATTAGATTAGTTATATTCTTTGGTATTTTTATTTGCTATAAGGCTTTTTGTAATAGTAGAATGTAGACAAAGTCATAGGCTTTTGACATGTCCTATGATAATAGCCATAGTTCTTGTTTAAAGACATTTGCATTTTTTATAATATGTATTAGAATAGATATTGGTATAGCTGTAGAAGTGTTCAGCAAGGCTACATGGTTGCTGTTGTTGAGTATAGGGTATCTAGTAAGAATATTGTTAAGCCTATTGGTAATTATTTTTGTTAGAATTTTTCAAGTATGTTCTATAAAAGTTATAGATTGTGTATTATTTAGTTGTCATGTAAATTTAGGATTTTTGAAAATAGGATAAATATTGCTATGTTTCTATGTTTTTGGAATCATGTTTAGTGTTAGATATGCATTTAATATTGTGCAAAGTTGCATCAAACCAGTGCTACTCAGATGTTTTAGCATCTTATTTGAGATGCCGTGTGGTCTAGTTGCTTTACAGGTTGGTAATTTTTTGATAGTCTTCTCTAGCTCTTTCAGAGTAATTGGATTAGAGATATTCTTGTACCAGCAGTCTTGAATGTTTTATAAGTTTGTATTCTTCTTTCCACTTCTTCTAGTAGTTTCAGTTTGGGGGTTAGATTTTGTTCAGTTCTCATAGTATGTTTGTACTTCTTTTCATATTAATTCTGGTTCTGTAATAACATCATCTGCTTTGCATACATTGTGAAGAAGGACTGGGTCTGTATGTCTTTTTAATATGCTATTAATTATGTGAATAATGTTGTTATTAAAGTTATTATATCTTTTGTTAATATATTTATTAATTGTGCTTTGGTGAGCAAAGTTGTTTTCTAGTATTTTGGCTTGATGTATTGTCTTTTGCTAATCTTTTAGCTATGTGATTAGTGCCTTCTTATTAGTAAATGTCAGGTCCTCTGATGTGATGTAATTGATTTGTATTTCTGTTTTGTTATTGATATAGTCTATATTCTTGTTATATGTTTGTACTAGAGTGTTATTAGGAGTTTGTATATTTGCTTGCATTTGTCTTATTAGTTTGTTGATGCACTTAAGAGCTGCATGGAGTTTGGTGGCTTTGGTAGAGAAGGTATAGAATGTTTGAAACTGAATTTTAATTCTAGATATGTTCTTTTTGGCTGCTATAATAATTGCTTAATAAAGCTCATGTTATTGTTTGTTTAATATACTAGTATTGTTTATTTCTTGTACAATTGTATTTTCTTGTAGATAGGCTGTTATTGAGCTCGAGAATTCTGTTCACAGGTCTGATGTCATTTGGTCAATTTAAAGATTTCTCTTTTTCTTTGTTTTTGTTTGTTGTTTTTTATTTGAAGGTTGTATGCCTATTGTAGTTGCATGATTTGGTGATCACTATCTGTTATTTCATTAGAAAAGATTATTTGAGAGGGTGTTAAATTATATATGAGTTGTGTTAGGACCCAGATGTCATTTATTTGGCTATTTATTTCTTGCTAGCTCCATATAGAAACTGTAATGTTGAAGTAGTCAAGTGTGCTAAGTATTCATGTAGTTTTAGAGTATTGAAAAGTAGGGCTATTTTTTGTTTAGGTTTTCTGTTAATGTTGAAGTCTCTAAGAACAATTGTATAATAGCCTTTAGTTGTTGTTTGGTTTATCTATTGTGATATTGTTTGCTGTGTAATCTTATTAAGAGGATGGTTTGTAATTAGTAAATAGGTGAAAATTATTCGAATTTGGTTTTTGTTTAAAAAAAAGAAGTCTATTACAATAGCAGTTCCTGGTTTTGTTATGATGTTGTGAATGTAGAGTCTAAGTAGTTTGGTAATTACAATTGCAGTACCAAGGCTTGTTTTTCTTTTGACTGCTTATTGGGCATTGCAGTTTGAAGTGTAAACATAGTAATAGAGATTGCTTGTAATTAGTTCTGTATAGGTTGAGTCAGCTAATTTTGTTTCTGTCATACTTATAATATAGTATTGATGCTGTTGGCAATGTTTGAGCCATAGTTGTAGTTTGAGTCTGTTATTTAGGCCTTGTACATTGTGGGTTACTATTGTTAGATTATTGTTAATTTGTGAAGGAAGTAGGTTTAAGAGCTTATGGTTAGTGTTTTCTAATAAATTTGGAGTTATTGTAATAGTAGATGATAGTGTCTTATTTTTATTTTTGTTGTACTGCATTTAGTTTAGATAAGGGCAAAATATCTCCTATTTAGGTTCAGGGAGTGGTAGTAGTTTTAGAATATGTTCAGGTATTGCTTTGACTGTATAATGTTGTTTGAGTTTTGCTAATATTAGAGTTGCAGTATCTTGACTTGTTATTGGTAGTGTGATGTCAGTTGTATTTATTTTTTGGTTTTTGAAATCTTCTTGTATTTGTGCAATAGTATTAGATATTTGAAGCTTTACCTCTTTATTTGCATCTGTTTCATCTATGGTTTCTTTGTTTGTTTCTGGTATTTGTATCTATTTTGTGGGCAGCTTTTGGAAGTAGTAGTAAAATTGAAGAAGGCATGCAATTTCAGTTATTCTTTTGTGTGTATTTTTTGAAATAGTAAGATTGACTTCTGTAATTATTTTGGAGTTAATAGGTAATTTGGGCTTGTTTGTAGGATTAGCAGTTATGATCACTTCTGAAATAGGTAGTATAATTTTATATGTTTTTTTAACTTCATATATAAAGGTTGCTGCTTCAGTATCATCTGTAATTGGGTAAATATATGTGTTCTGAGTTTTAATTCTAGTTGGATCTTTTGGCAGACTTGGTTTAACTAGGAAATAGTCATTTGGAATGTTTTGAAAAGTAAAGTATTCTCTAAGTCTTGTAATAATATCTTGCATATCTGTATTCTGGTTGGCTTTGTTTATTGAAAAGCATGCCCTTAGTTGTGAGTCTTTTATGTCTTAATATGCAAGTGAAAGTGCTGATTTTTTTGGCATTGATAGAGGTAGGTTGAAGAAATGATCTAGGATTTTATTAAAGCTATAAACTTCTTATAAATGTTTTCTATAGTATGCAAGTCTTTCTAGTTCACTCCTCTCTGTTATTGGGAAAAGGTGCTTAATTCTGTAATCTAAATCATTTATGTTATGTAGCAGTAATAGAAGTTTAGTAAAATAGATAGGTGCTAACTTTTTAAAATCGAATACTCTGTGTAATGCTGTAATTACAGCTTTTGTTTGTGACTTGGATTTTATCGAAAGTTCAAATAGTAGGATGGCTTTTATCTCATCTAAGATTCTTATTAGTGTGTCAGAAACTTTTTGTAGTTTGCTTTTTGTTGTCTCTGCAATTGCCTCTTGTATGTCTTTTTTGTCTATTGCTTTTTTATCTCTTGTAAAGCCTTTATAGTATGTTAGTAGTTGATATATATGTTTCTGTAAACATGTATTGAAGTTCATATTAGCAATATGGTCAATGTACAGTTTTTGGTAGAGTTTGAGATGTATCTTGTCTTTTGTTTGTTTGTCCATAATAGTTATTTGTTTTTTTTTTGTTTTTTTATATCATGTTTGTAAATAGGTTTTTATATTCTATTTGGTGTTGGGGCATGAAATGTTTAGCTCTTATAAAGATAGTAAAGAAGGTATGGTCAATATGTCTAAATTTGGATTCAATTGCATATGGTAGTATTTGTTGTGCAGGTTTGGTCTTGAATTTGTATATAATAAGTTTTTGTAGTTTCTTTTTTGCTTGAAAAGCTTCTGTTGTAAGTTGGTAATTTCAAAGTGTAGGGTCAAAGGATTCTACTATTTTTTTTATCTATGTTTTGGTTTAGTTGTTCTGTTCACATTTGCATGTAGTCTGTGTAACTTTCTAAATCTGTGTTTGCAGTTTTTCTGTCCTTAACTGCCTGGCTGTATGTGCATCTAGTTTGTGTATCATTCTCTATTGAGTTTCTAGTACTTAGTATTGTGTTAATTGACTTAGTTTTCATGTTTTGGTCTAGGTGTATCTCTGTTTAAGGAGGGCTCAGTTTGGTGACTGGTGCCAATTAGTTCTAGAATATGCTGTACTATATGTGCAATTTTCATTTCTATTTTAAAACTGTATGCTTGTGTTTGTATATCACTTATAGTAATATAAGAGTTGTTGTTTTGTGTAATTGTTATGTAGTTATTGTTGTTGCTCACAAAACTGGTTTTATCATTGGTTAAATCTGTTTGTTTTGTTGTGGTGTTGTGGTTAATTGTATATGCAATCATATGGCTGTTAGATAGGGGTAAGCTACTTTTTCTATTTTTGTTATTTTGTTATAGTGATGGTATTAAGGTTTTCTGATGCTTGTTTGTGGTTTTTTTGTTATTTTTGCTAAAATAGTTGTAAGAAACTTGTTTGTGTTGAGGTTGTTTCTGTTGTCTAGTAGAATATTTATGACTGTTTTGCATATTAAGAGTTTGTATGGCTATAAAAGTAAAGGCTTCCATAGACCCTAATGGGCTTGAAATATTTTCTTTGTTTTTGGTGTAGGGTTTGTGTTTTCTCTTTTTTCCTATAATGGTGTATCTTAGTTTGTTTTAGATTAGTATATAGAGGGTTGCAGGTTGTCCTGTAGTTAGTATTATTATCCTTTTCTTTAGTTAGTTAAGATTTTATGGTTTTCTTTTTTGTTTACTTTTTTTTTTTAAATTAAACAACATTTAATTAATAATAATAATAAAATATATAATAATAATAATTAATAATTTTAACATGCCTTTTAAGCTAGTTAACATACTTACTAATTTATTAACAGATCATTAAAATAGAGTAATCTCTAACTTTGGCCTAACCAACTTATTTACAGTTAAAAATAAAATAAACCAGAGAGAAACAATAACTCCACTATTTTGGTACATTTATTATAACCCACTTATTCATAAAATTGCATCATAATATAATGGTTACTCATTATCTACAATCTGGAAAACTCATCTTTAACCATCTAGATTCCAAAGCCTCCAAGCATCTATATCAGTATTAGCTTACATAAATGATACACTTTGGATAGCAAAAACAAAACAAGAATTAGAACAAATTACCCAAACTGCTTTATCTTTCTACCTAATGGCCAATATTCAGATTAATGCTACCAAATCCATCTTTATTTCTAACTTACCTACATCTAATATTCAATTTTTTAACTATATCTTAGAATCCATACCTGCTAGCCAACTATTTAAGTTCTTAGGTTGTTGGTTTACACTTAACAACAAATATATTGAACAAATTAAAATTATCTGAAAAGAAACTCTAGTACAAAGAAAATTACAGATAAACAAATCATTTATATAATTAACACAGTATTATACCTATACTTGAATATAGATTACACAACATTATTATGCTTTACTTCACATGCAACAACATTCTTGCCAAATACTTAACAATAGCCAAACACAAATCCCACCTAGCATACTCAATCTCCAATAGTACTATGCTTAACCTATACTTGTATAATGTTTATAATATATGGGACATCCAACTTCAACATCATATTACTAACTTTTTATTATGACTTAACAATTCTAACTTACTAGGAACTTTAATACAAATAAGACTACAACTTCAAAACAACCTATGGTCAACTATTAATATACTTCAACACCCTAATTCTATTATTGATAGTCCAAATAAACATACACTAAATTTTAAAATTATTTAATTTCTGAAACACCTAAACATATCTATAACAGCTAATTCCAATATTTCATGGCCAAACACTATATCATATAATCTTTAATCAATAGAATCAATTTTATTCCAACACTCTCAATACATTAGCTTCAAAAAACAAATCAGAAACCTTAACATTCTATATCTTAAACAGCTTTGTATAGCTGACAACACTATTTTATTAAAATGGAAACATCTTTCACCACGACTGTTATACCTATCTAAAGGTTAAAAACTATTATAGTTCACTTTTTGGAAGAAACTGTAATGGCCCATAATAGTTTCAGAATCCTTCTTTTACACTACCAACAACTAGAATATAATCTATTTGCATACAGCTTATAACATATATCTAAAAAATCTAAACCCTGGTTACTTATATATACAGACAACAAGATTATTATTGGCAAAATTTGCAAACATCTAAAAAACATTAATCAAATATTTATCACATACT